TCTGAGGCTCTGAGCAGCCATCTTGGGTACTCAGAAAAATTAGCATTGTGAGGGCCTCAACAGTTGGCACAGGTGTACACACTGCTGCTGCAGTCTAAGAAACTGTGTGGTAGGCATCACTACCACAGTTTCACAGTTACACTGTAGGTATCTCTCCTTGCTGGTGCAACCATTAGTAGCCTATCCAAATCTCTGAGATATTTGTAGCATTGCAGTGGTGAGAAGTGTGAACTTGCATAGCACTGCCACTTTTTATCATCTTTGGGAGCCTGGGGTATCTGACTATGAAGATTCTTGATGAGCTTGATGGAGTTTGTCTGGTAAGCTGGTCCCATCATGGCACTTCAAGCATTCCACGTTATGATGTCAAGTGATTAACAACTTTAAATTTACTTTCATTCCATAGTTGCCTCTGAAATTCTTCTATTTCTATAACTGGGTCAATTGGAAAACTACACTATAGTGATATTTGCCTTGTGGTGGTAATGTTGTTGCCGCGTGTCTCCCGCGGGTGAGGCAAACACGTCGCCTACTTCTACTTGATAGGTTGGCAACAACCTACTTGGGAAGTGGATAATGAGGAGACTAAAATTGATCTTTTATTACTGACAAATGAAACAGAATTTAGATTACAGTTCAATTAATTGGCTCTTGGTTATGAAATGCACACAAGGGTGGTGCATAAGTGAATGAAGAATGTTGGTATACCTAAAGAGTTTTGGAGCATAGGACTAACGAGCATAGGAGTTAAGGAACTAAGGAGCATAGGAAACATGGAGCGTAGGAGCATGGACTAACGTACATAGGAGCATGGAATTTACGTTAATGATTTTACTTCCTTGTCTGGACTAGAGAAGAAAAACAGAAAAATTACATAACGAGAAAAACACAGCACAGACATTAAATAAACGAGCATGAAAGCCAAAGGGTTGGGCTAAAAAGCAATATAGCTCCCCCTGCAACAATGTGAATGTCAAATTCCACATCCCTATTTTTTGAAAGTTAAGGAAGAAATTTACTTAGTCTTTTCAGCCATCGCAAGTTCTAAAGCAAGGAGTTGTAGCATATTTACTCGTATGCCAGATATGTTTATCTTACTGTAAGGTCTTCAGATTCTTCTGTTTTCAGCAGAGACTGGGTGGACTAAGATCACATAGCTGTCAGACAGTCAGGGTTCTGATTAATGACAGTTGACAGACTTACAGTATAAGATTCAGATACTGAAAGAGGACTAAGCATGGCTACCAGAGTGCAAGCAGCATTGCCAATAAATGGATTTCTAGTCCAAAGTGTTGCCAGCCATTTTCAAGATGCATTGCAGGGTAATTTTTAATAAGAAAATGCTGCTAAAAACTTTTATAGTATATCCCTTACTCTCCACACACTGCATCATTGCAACTGATTTCTGGACAAGCTTCACTGCATCATGACAGGGCTGGAAAAGTATTATTTTTTCTGAAATATTGCAGCTCTAATATCATATAATTTCAGTAGGTATTAAATCTCATGGCTCTAATGGCATGTATTTTTGTTTGATTGAAAAATCACGGTTTGCACTCCGCAAACATGTCATTTCATAAAATTTCCAACTTCCACAATTTGCACTATTTCAACGATCCTGCCAGAATATCCTGCACAATGAAACAACAAGTCAACCTAAAAGGTTTCCTTATAGATCACTTAGTTGCATTCATGTCTGAGTGGTCAAACTGCATTATCACGTGATCAGTTGCCATTCAATTGAAGACAAATGTTAGTGTTGATTGTTTTAGGGTAAAATCAGAGATTAAGGGTAACACCGTAACACGTGCACGGGACTTAGCAAAACATTTGCTGCTGCCGGCTGAAGGCTTAAATTTTGCTGCAGATGCATTGCCAAAGGTCTTTAGATATTCACCCACTTTCTGCTCCCTGGCATCACATGGCTGGAGGTGAAAGCCTGAAAGTGAAAGGTAGATTAGCTCAGGTCATGGTGACAAAACACACTTTTTTTAGACTCTTTCCAAACTTCCAAAGTTCATTTTCAAGTCCTATAAGTAGACCAGTAGAGTATCATAGAAAGCAGCATTATTGTACATAATAAAATGGTTATAAATCTTTACTGGATCATGGACAAGGAAATCAAAAATTAGCTAGGGTAAATGCGGTATATTCCAACATCGTGGGTAATTCTGACACTTCTTGACTTTTTTCCTTTATATTAAGCTTTTTCTTAGTTCCATGCATTTGTTGATGGTTGAAATAGTGACGTCATACTTTTGCACGCCATACTATTGCCAAAACACTAGGTCTGGGCCATCTGGCGGGAAAATCTTGAAATCCAAAGAGACAGTGCGCGTCACCCAGTGAGAACATCAAAAAATGTGTTGACCTTGCTCTACCAAATAGTGATAAACTGTTTGTGTAGAAAGAATATTATGGTTTGAGACTTTTAAATACGTCTGTAAATATATCAGGAATCCTTAAAGTACCTTAAAATGGGGTAACTTAGACCGGCGGGGTAACTTAGACCACTTTTCGTTTTTTTAACAAAAACCCCCACAACTCAAAAACTATTTGACATAGAAAAATTTTGTCAATGGGCATTAAAGGCCTAATAC